AAACATTGCACCATTTGCACTGATATACAAAAAAAATTACTCACAACTTCGCAAGACACAAGTTGAAAACATTCGCGTGACTGCATGCAGAACTATTGTGAACTTGGTTGTTTGTGGATTTTCAATTTTTCACCAACACTCACACGCAGACAATCTCACGCATGCCCATTCATGCCGCACAAACTTAAGAAGGAGGGGAGAGGAGACAAAGTACACAATGCACACAAACAAAGTAAGCAGCGGAAAGTTTCGGAAACCACTATGCACAGGTGTGGAGATAACACAGGGTGCTTGAACCATGTTTCTCACTATTTGACAATACTCCCAAGAGTCCCAACAACTGATCACAATAAGATACCCGCGAGGGTAACAAAAAAACAGTACAACATTGAGCCGATGTGAACCAATATCGCTATGGCCTTCGGCAGCCCGGCTATAGGCTCTCGTGCTATGGGCCTAGGCCACAGGGCCTCCCGTCCTAGTGATAGCCCGGGCCTGCTTTTCGAACAGCGCAGGTCCTCTGTCTCTCTCTCTCTCTCTGTAGTAAAAGAAAAATAAAATTGAAAGGTGTGATCACTGTTGGAACATATTTACAGATGTCTGATAATTCTCTCTCTCTCTCTCTCTCTCTCTCTCTCTCTCTCTCTCTCTCTCTCTCTCTCTCTCTCTCTCTCTCTCTCTCCCTAAGTCTCCGTCTCTTCGCGACCGATTGATGAACCATGTGTCGCTTGAAGTGTGGCCTCCATTTTGCGCAGCAGCCGCTGCGCCTGAGCTCGCCGATCAATGGGGGCAGGAATCGCCGCAGATGGTGTGCCCTGCAGCCGCTGCCCATCTGGCCCGAGTCGTGTCCTCCGTCTCACTCGTTGCCCTCCTCCATCATCTCCGTCCGCCGCCCGTGTCGTGTCTCTTCTCACCTACCACTGCATCCCCTGCACCCTCCTTGCCGACGCCGTCCGCCGTCATTGCAGCCCTCCCTCCAACATCCAATGCATCGCCGTCGGGTGCAATCTCTCCGTCCTCGAGATGCACAAGGCCGGATCGCCTAAGATGGGAATGCATATGCGGCGATGAACGTAACGCCTTCCTTGTCGAGGCCTTCTTCCTCGCCCGAGAAATACTCGCCTTCGCAGCCCTCGTAGCCTGCACATCAGATGTCTTCATCGACAAAGCACTCCCATGTCGGGCCTCGTACTCTGTCATGACGGTGTGGCGAGCACCATTGACAATCCCAATGGATCATGTCCCCATAGACGGTGATGATGGCTTGCCCACAATCCGGACTCCTTGCTCATCCAACCCCCCACTAGTGGTCCCGCTGGTATAGAATGCCACTGTCGGCAAAAGAGTGGCTTTGTCACGCCATGCTGTCGCCGATGACGCCACCACAGGCTGTTTTGTCGCGTCGGTGATGTCTGTGGCGGGGACGCCCACAACTGCGCCGACAGCCGCGTTGATGGGCTGATGCTCTGAGTGTGACAGTGGACGTGGAGGTCTTGCTGCTCTTTCGATTGCACCGAGTGCAGCAAAGCCACCATCCTCCGCGCCATGGAACGAATCAGACAAATTACGTTGTGCAATGCTGCGGTGACTGTCACAGAGGTGTCGTGCCGTCGTCTCAGCCTTACCAAGGTCTACCTCGTGAGGTCTACCAACACGAAAAACAGTGGGCGTGGCAGACGCCTTTGGGCACACCGTAATCGCATCGTCTCCAAACTCATCAAACGCGTCTGGCCCTCGCTCTATAGCGACAGGCTGATGTGGGTTGGGCAGTGACACGTGGGGTAGACCAAGAGATATCAAAGTCAACAAGTCCGGGAGATAGACGAGTGCCGAGTTCATGGCCGATAACTCGCCGGTACCCGGAAGACTGCCGGTGGGGCATGCGAGACCGACATGGCCTGCGGCGCTCTTCTCATGTGCGGGTGTGTGTGAGACCTCCCCTTCAGGGAGATCAGCGCCTGGACACACAACAACAGTCCCCTCCATCAATGCAGGAGGTGACCGCAATACGGTGTCGTCTGCATTGGGTCCATGTGTGTCCGATTGCTGCATAGCAACCACCTCCCGGTGTACGTCGGACTGAACTCCATGCCCGCTGCGAGGTGGGAGCATACTTTCCTGCTCCGCCACTATCGGTGGTCATCACACGTATGAGACTGACGGTCCGCCAGCAGACGTGAGTGGATGCAATGCAGCAGCAGAACCCTCGTCCTGCATTACCGGGAGATCACCGTTGTCTCCCTTGTTTCTCGGGATGGGGCATCAATGATCCGTGACCCTGTTGCGATTCCGGGATTGCTGCAGAGGACCCTGTCGGAGCTGTTGTGTGCATAGTCTGAGTATCATTTCGCGCATGACCGCTCCCATCATCCTGCTCGATCCGCTCCTCGTTGGCGTCATCGTTGAAAGAGTCCTCAAGAACTGAAATCTGCTCAATTGCAGAATTTGCAGGGACTCGTGGTTGTGGAACGCCTGAAACCCCACCGTGACGTTTGCGCACACGTGAAGAGATAGGGTCTCCATCCCTTGGTCCACGTTTCAAGCGCTTTAGGGCGCTGCCCTGAATAAGTCATGGATCGTCATCATCCACTCCATCTCCAACGTCATCTGAGACTGCACGGTGCTCTCCTCCTGCCCCGTCGCCGCACATGGTGTCACCATCCCCTTGTCTCGATCCCCCTGCACCGCTTCGTGCATCAGCGTCACCCTCATCGCGATAATGTCCCGCTGCCTCATCAGGACGTTACCGTCCACCTCCACAACCCGGTTCGGGAATATTAACCCGGCCCCCTTTCGATGTGCGGCGCGCAGTGCGCCCTTGATACAAGGTTTCCANACCCCACGGCGTTGTTAGCGCACCCATAGACCCCTTTCCCCCTAACCCCCGTTGCATTGCCGCTCATGGCGGTTCACCCGTCTTCAAGAAAGAAAGGAAAAAAAAAAAAAAAAAAACAGACCCTATGACATGAGTCGGAGTCCATGACCGTTTACGTGAGTCGCACTTACCTCAATGCACAGGGTGAAGTGGCTCACAAATCCAGACCGGACCGCTGCAAAGCTCCGGCTTGCATAAGCAATGGGACGCCTTGATGCCTCCATTGCCCTCAGCCCCACACTCTTTTCTAAGTTTGTGGGCAACCAGTCCATGCACAACGGCTGACAGAATATTATGGGACACACAACACATGTCATGCACCATGCTGTGCTGTGTGCCTTCAAAGGACAAAAAAACAATATGCGACAGTTTGTTCTTTGCATCTGTTTTTTTCTTTTTTTTTTTTCCTCACATTTCAGAATTTCTTTCACTTTTTTAATTTTTTTTTCTTCGCGAGGTGCACATGTGCGTCGAGCAGCCCATGCCGTGTTATGTGTCTGCCTGCATTTTGTCAATGGGGTGGTGGACGAGGGCCAGCAATGCCAGCATGTTCATCGGGCCCTCAGGGACAGTACTCCCCTGTGGGCCTGTGGCCGTGAATCAGTCTGAGTCCAGGGCCTGTACGACCAATTCCAAACTGTGACACAGAGTCACAGTGGGCCGCACCCCGACCCTGGCACCCGCACGGCGGTCCCGCGCCGTGGTGCGGGGCTTGCACCCGCGGCCGCCGCGGTCGGGGTCCCCCGCCGCCGGTCCGGGGTCGCGGGTGCAGGGTCCACATGCGGGGTTACCTGCTGCGGGGCGGGGTTGCGGGGGTGGGCACCAGTGGTCGGGGGTCTGTGGGCGGGGGTCGGGCTGTGGGGCCGCGGGGTTGTGGTGCAGACAAGCGGGGGTTGTGCCGCGGGGTCACGAGCGGTGGCCGCGTTCCGGGGTCGGGGGTTGTCCTGTGGCTGTCTCTTATACACATCTAGATGTGTATAAGAGACAGCCCTCCTACTCGTCGCGGCGTCAGAATCGCCGCGACGGCCGAGCATAGGTCACGCGCTTCTGTCAACGTCTCCGCGTGTTGAGCAGGGTCGTGGCCAATCTCCTCCATCACCGTGATCATCGCCTCTGACGCCATCGTCATCGTCTACGTCCGGGTGGCGATCGCCGACATCGTTGTCGTCGTCCTGTGCAGGCGCGCCAGTCCCGAAGAAATCCTCACAGTCACTGAACGAGCTCTCATACAAGAAGTCTCCCTCGTCCCATCGCTGTCGAGGCTTGCGTACAAGCTCGTCCGCCGTCATTCGACGACCCGCGATAGTCCTCCTCCCACCAGGACCTTCACGCCCGCCTCGCCCACGACCTCCCCAATGACCACCTCCGCGACCCCCGCCAGAACGCCTCCTCCTGTCAGACTCCCACAATCGACGAGTGGCTCCCATGCGGGACACGGCGCGCATCCTCTCTCTCGCCTGCATCAACTCCTCCTTCATCACCGTTGCACGGGCTCCTCGGCGTGAGACAAGCTGCTGGTCGGTGGGCACCTCGTCCTCCACCTGCTACAATAGTGCACCAAGCTCCCATACGGATGTGGCCTGTCATTGGGAGCATCATCCGACATAGCATGCCTGTCAAGAAGCCGAAGGTTCCAGTGGCATTACATGAGCTTCTCGGCCCGTGTCACCTCCAACCTGTTACGGGATTTGGAGTGGACGAAGCTCCAGCGCGACCAAGCTCTCTCGCAAGGCGATGTAGTCGCCCATACACGTAGTATCCTGCCGGCGAAGAAGGCCGTGCGTGGGAACCTCTTCTTCTTCGACTCCCAGAAACTGGCTGGATGGGGATAGCTCCGCGCCCTCCGATCCATGGCCACGTCGTCGAATGGCGGCTCCCTAGCATGAAACTTGTCAACGGCAGTCAGGACCTCGTTGTGCTGGGCCAAGCCCTCCGGGTACCTGAATTGAACCAGAGCAACTTTCAAACCCTGCTGAATCTCATCGTCGTCTGGCATCGTGCGCTCTCGAAACTTGGGATCCAACATCATGGCAGCAACATGAGCCGGCGACTTGAACATGGTGCGGCGCCTGTCAAAGACTTCGAGCACTAGTCCTCCTCCTCCTTGTCAAAAGCAACACATGCAGACAGACAGCGCACGATCATCTCGTCGTACCGACACAAAATCTTGCCAATCTGCCTCGTGTTGCTGTCCAACATCTGCAACATGTCCATGATGGGATCCAACAACTTGCACACCGCTTTCATATCCTCCCACCACCGAGGACAACCGACACATGCTTTGACCTCCGCGGCGTCGTCTCAAATCCTCTTCGTTGACCAAACAGTGTCCTTCCATCGATCATCACTGACCACCTGCATAAGATGCGCTTGCAGCTGAAAAAGTCGTCGCATCATAATGACGTGCGTGTCGAAGCGAGTCTCGGCGGGAAGCAACAGTGCCATCGTCGTGAAAGCTTGCAAAACCTCGTGAGCATGACTATGGCGCTTGAAAAACTTTGTGACCACCCGTGCTTGAGCAATGCGAGTCGCCACCCACTCAATGCCCCCGATGTCCTTAAGAATGAGGTCCATGACGTGCGCCACACAAGAAATCCAGAAGATGTGTTTCACACTCTCATCCTTCTGGAACACCTCCATCGCACAAACGTTTGAACTGGCCGAGTCTGTGACGAAAGTGATAATGTCTGCGAACTTGATGTCAAGGGACTTCAACCTTCGCAGCCAAGCATGCGCCATAGCAGTGACATCCTTCTTTCCTCACATAACATCTGTCGCGTCGTATGTGGCGCCCCGTGTGGTCCCAACAAGATAGTTGCACAACGTTTGGCCCCGAATGTTGGTCAAACCGTCTGTCATGATCGTGCAACCGTAGGTAGCCGAAGTAGCGAGGACATGTTTCACACACTTTTGGACTTCCGCATCAAACTCATCCAAAAGTGTGGTACGGATCATGTGATACGTTGGGGGTTTTGGGGTGGGCACTCTGGGAACCCTAGGCGGGATGACAACTGTCAATATGCGTTTGAAGCTCTCAAGCTTCACGCAGTTGAACGACATGCCGCTCTCAACAATGAATCGCATGATCTGCAGGTGCCATGCGTGCTCTAGTGGGTCGTTGTAATACGAGGTCACCGCCTGCTACCTGAAACTGCCCCTCACTCGTGCACTGGCGTTGTAGACTATCGAATCCCACACCCCGCCGCCGACCGCAGGTGATGCGGTGGGGCCTGGACTCGGAGCCGCAATATTGCGCAAATTTTGTAAAGGATCCAATGTCCCAAAAACACCGTGCTGCGAGGTCGGGGCGTTCACTGATGCAGGCATGGGTGACGAATCCGAAACCTGAACGGGCCCGTCGAGCGGGACTGTGCCCGCCCCCTCAGGGACCGTTGCAGCGGCCTCTCCAATAGGGGACGAAATTAAGTCAAGTGCAGGTCCTTGTCTTTGCGAAGGAGGGGGCGGTAACCACGGATAAGCAGCGAATTGATGCCCCGTTGCGGGTGGTCCTGCCACGGGCGGACCTGCGGCTGCGCGTGAAACTCTTGCAACCATGTCCGTGTTCTCAGTGAACAACGGGGCGAGGCCGACTGATGTGTCTGCTTCCTTCCCCCACCCACGACCCTCAACAAAAGCACGAGTTCCTGACTCGTCAAACAACACAGGTCCCCTGACACCCGAAACTGGCACGGGGCCCTGCGCATCAGGCTGCGTTGCCACCGATGGAGTGACACGTGCGTCACATAGGCACCCACCGGAAACCGTGCCAGCAACGGGTGCAGGAATCATCAGACGAAGCGGTGCAGGTGAGACTGCCGCCGGGCAACGGGGGAGGGGCGCACGTGGAATACGTGGAGATGGTGCCGCCTGCGAGGGGGCGGCGGTCGACGGGGGAAGTGGAACAGCGTCCTCGGGAAAACGAATCGGTGGCCATTGAAAAGAGGGATGACCTGGAGGGAGAAACTGTAAGGCTTGCACGACAGAACCCAATTGTGCAGGACACTTCGACATATCCTTTGACCAAATTGCGTGCCACACCGTCGGAGTCGCCACGCTTATAGCGGTTCACCCGTCATTAAGAAAAAAAAAAAAAAAAAAAAAAAACCACAGCCGACGGCGGGCCGTCGTCACCGCATTTCCAATTTTTTACAACCAACACCCTTAGGTCCCTTACTCACCCAATCATCGGCACCCATACACCCCTTTCCCCCTGACCCCCCCTCGCATTGCCGCTCCTGGCGGTTCACTCGTCATTAAGAAAGAAATAAGAAACAAAAAAGAAAAACACCCCAGGGAGGGCCGTCGTTGCCGCACCCACAGACCCCTCTCCCCCYAATGSCMCWRASYYCYYTMMCCCYCCYYGCAYTGCCGWWKYTGCYSCTCAYGGCGSTTCAACCGTCTTTAARARAAAAAAAAAAAAAAAAAAAAAAAAAAAAAAAACCACGAYGRGCCGTCGTCACCRCATTTCCAATTWTTKACAACCAACACCYTTAGGTCCCTTACTCGCCCAACCCTCAGCACCCATACACCCTTTTCCCCCAAACCCACTTTTGCATTGCTGCTCATGGCGGTTCACCCGTCATTAAGAAAGAAAGAAGGAAAAAAAAAGAACACACCCCATGGCGGGCCGTCGTTGCCGCACCCTTAGACCCCTTTCCCCCCAACCTCCTTTGCATTGTCGCTCATGGCGGTTCACCCATCCTTAAGAAAGAAAAGGAAAAAAGAAAAAAAAGACCCCACGGCGGGCCGTCGTCACCGCATTTTCAATTTTTTACAAGGAACACCCTTAGTCACCCGACCCCCCGGCACCCATATACCCCTTTCCCCCGAACCACCCCTTCCATTGCCGCTCATGACGGTTCACCCATCTTTAAGAAAGAAACAAAAAAAAAAAAAAAGACCCCACGGCGTTGTTAGCGCACCCATAGACCCCTTTCCCCCTAACCCCCGTTGCATTGCCGCTCATGGCGGTTCACCCGTCTTCAAGAAAGAAAGGAGAAAACACACACACACATACACACGCACACACACACACGCACACACACACACGCACACACACCAAAGCCTGTCTCTTATACACATCTAGATGTGTATAAGAGACAGATATACCCCTTTCCCCCGAACCACCCCTTCCATTGCCGCTCATGACGGTTCACCCATCTTTAAGAAAGAAACAAAAAAAAAAAAAAAGACCCCACGGCGTTGTTAGCGCACCCATAGACCCCTTTCCCCCTAACCCCCGTTGCATTGCCGCTCATCTGTCTCTTATACACATCTAGATGTGTATAAGAGACAGGTCATCACCGCATTTTCAATTTTTTACAAGGAACACCCTTAGTCACCCGACCCCCCGGCACCCATATACCCCTTTCCCCCGAACCACCCCTTCCATTGCCGCTCATGACGGTTCACCCATCTTTAAGAAAGAAACAAAAAAAAAAAAAAAAACCCCACGGCGTTGTTAGCGCACCCATAGACCCCTGTCTCTTATACACATCTAGATGTGTATAAGAGACAGGCGGTCGGGGGTCTGTGGGCGGGGGTCGGGCTGTGGGGCCGCGGGGTTGTGGTGCAGACAAGCGGGGGTTGTGCCGCGGGGTCACGAGCGGTGGCCGCGTTCCGGGGTCGGGGGTTGTCCTGTGGGGGTTGGGGGTCGCGGCGCGGGGGTGCGGGGTTGCTGGCGGGGTCGGTGATGCGGCTGCGGGGTTGCAGTGTCGGGGTTGCGGTGCCGGGGTTGCGGTGCCAGGGTGGCATTACTGGCGGGGTTGCGAGGCGGGGTACCCGGGGCTGGGCGGTGGTGGGGGTCATTCCACGGGGGCGGGGGTGGATGGTCCATTGCCTTGATCTCCGGTGGCTCTACTTAAAACCGCTTATGCCACGCCACCTTTAGATCATCCCAACTGATCTTGGTATGCAAGTCGGCAGCCACCAGTCCGTACTTGGACAATAGATTGTTCAACCATGCTTGGCACGCGCCCCCCGACCGGGAGTATAAATACGTATGGTGTTTGTGTTCTTTGACGTAGTGTAACTGCAACGTGAGCTTGAACTTGCGGAACCATGGAATTGGGTCTGTCTTCGTCGAGTCGCAGAAGATCTCCTGCCCATCGAACTTTGGAGTTGTCTCGCGCGGTTCCGAGCTCGAGTGGTTGGCGACAGTACAGATCCGCTGCTCCAACTGTTGCGTTGCGGTTTGCTATAACTGCACGCCATCCTTGAGGGAGCTGACGTCAATCTCCAATGCCTCGAGGCAATCGGAGGTGTTGGAAGAACTGGCATTGGGGGCGGCAACGGGTCGCTGCTCCAGCTGCCGGAGGCGGCTGTGGACTTGAGCCAACGCGTCGTCGAGGCTGTGGATGTCCTCCTGCTGTGTAATGCATGTTGCCAGGAGGTCCGTGAGATGGGAGAGGAGTAGAGCGATCTTGTTTCCACTCTCTTCCATCTTGCCATTCTTGGCCTCGGTCCGCCAATCCGCTGCCTCGTCGTGCTGGCGCTGCTGTTCGATTGCCAACAGACGTGCCTTCTCGGCGTCCTCTGCCTTTTGCTTTGCTGCGGCTGCTACTGCATCCGATGTTTGCTTAGCTTCGGTAATCAGAAGCAGCATCCGGGCCTGATAGGCCTCGTCCGTTTCCCCGAACTTCTGGTCCATGACGGCTGTTTGCGAGCGCAAAAGCATAGACCAGGCCGGGGGCCTGCTGACGTGGTACTCCCTGCTGCTGACGTGGCACTGCTGTCGGCCGACGCGGCCTGCTGACGTGTCCTGCTGACATGGTCCGTTGATGTGGTCTGCTGACGTGGCCTGCTGACGTGGTCTGCTGACGTGGCCTGCTGATGTGGCAACTCACCAATGCCGTCACAGGGGGTACCCGGAGACAGATAGAGAAGGTAASACCAGAGGGGGCAACAACATAGGTGGGGAGGGGTGGGTGGGATAAATCGCCCAGATAAGGAGCCACTAATCAAAAAGAAAAGTTTGAACTTCGCAAAAAAAATTCGAGAAAAAGAAAAAAATACTCGTTTGCAAGTTCAGTAGGCCTCCCTATTCCCCCTGAAGTGCGAAATTACCCGGAGGAAAATTTTCGAACGTTCAGACTGCAAATGATTGTCCGATGAGAATTCCGAAAAAAAATAAAATACAGCAAATATTCGGAATTACTCAGATGAGAGTAGGCGCAGTTGGAGAATGATAACTGCAAGAGGGATTCCCGTACCATTTTTTTTAAAAACGAATTTCGGGAAAAAAATATTCCGGATTTCTAAATAATGGGAAATTGCAAAAGGAAATCGAAATTTTCGAAATAAAGATATTCCGGATTTTCCAACAACGAAGTTTCGAATTTTCAGAAGGAAAACGAAAACAGAAATTTCAGATGTTGTGCTATTGCGATTTTCCACAGCAGAAATAGCAAGAAACAAAATCCAAGAAAAAGAAAAAGAAAAAAAAAATCGATTTTCGGCAGTGAGGTCAAAATCGTGATTTTGGGAGCTAACTAGTGTGCTCTAATCAATCAATCAAGACTAATCAGCTACGTAGTCCCCGCACACGTGTCAGATCAGGTTGTCCTGATTCACGTGTGGTGTTCCGATACCAACTGTTACATGCCCAGTTGGGCGATGTACATATAAAACCCGAGGATCCGCAATGTGATGAAAAGGACTGAATGGACAATGCAGTGCAAGTAGAATCTCAACAAACAATGTACATTCTGATACATACAAACATGGCGCTTTATAGCGCAGGGAAGACTTAGATACAATCCTGACCTGACCGAAACTGACCTCTATCATGTAGTGCAAGATAGCGTAGCAGAATGCTAGAATACCAATGACTAGCCCAATCAATGTTGCAACGCAGACCCAACATACATCATTCTCATCACAAAGTCTGAAGGGAGCCTGGCGCTATACACAGGAGGAAGGCGCCAGGTCCAGATCATGCACAGACGAAGAGGAGGGAAACAGACGAAGAGGAGGGAAACAGACGAAGAGGAGGGAAACAGACGAAGAAGAGGAGGGGGGAGATGGGAAAGTCGTCAACACCAAGTCTTCGTTACAAGTCCCAAATAATCTATCGTCAAAATGTCTGAAGTACTGTGTTTCGTTCTGATCAACTCTATGCTTGCCGGTAATAAGTAACCGGACTGGAGACCCCCAGAATAGAAGGGGCGAGTGTGTGTGTGTTTAAAAAAAAAAAAAAAAAAGTTTGAAGTCCAATGTCGAGTCTGGATCCAAATGTCACCAAGCTCTCTCTCTCTCTCTCTCTCTCTCTCTCTCTCTCTCTCTCTCTCTCTCTCGTAGTCTGCTGATGCAGTAAACTCAGGTAGCGAGAGGTTGAGATGGAGATGATGGACTGAGAAGAGGAAGAAGAAGAACTCTCTCTCTCTCATATGCCAGGTATTAACCTGTGAAGGTGGCGCTGTGCTGCAGGTACCTCGAAGGTGAAGCTGGAGCGATGGCGCTGCAGGTAAGTCCCTCTGGCCTCCGCCCAATCTCTCTCTCTATAGTACTACTCTAGCTGCTATGGCGCCCAGCGCTGAAGACTACAGCTAACGCTACTAGCGCCCAGCGCTGAAGACTAACGCTACTACTACTCCTACAGCGCTCCTCCAGAGTGCTGCTGCCGAATCCTGAAGACTACCTCCTGCCTCCTGAACTGCACGTGAAGTGCCTGGGAAGTACCTAGGAACTACCTGCC